AATGCAGTACCAAAAGCAACTTTAATGATCTTCTACAAAACATGGCTTCTCAACCACCACAATTTGTTATAGATCTTATTCATCAAAACAAGCAAAATATACATTATACCAATATATCTTTTAACTATTTACTATTTACTCTTAAAGATATTCTACTCAACTTTACTACTGTCCTCTTTACTAAACTAAATTATAAAAAAAAAATTCATTTTTACTATTTTCTACCACTACACTCTATTTCTAAATGTTCTCAAATTGCTATTAATCTTGCCTATTTATACCTCTTTCTTCAAAACCAATACAAAACAATTAATTACATAAAATTTTTTAATGATTTAAATCTCAAACCTATTCGAATAACACTTCATTTTAATACTATATTTAACAATGACAACCAACTTCTCCTTAAAATTAAAAATGACTCTAAATACAATGTTTATATTACATTAGATATTTCTTCACAGAATTTTTTTAAAACTTTTTATATTCTTTCTTTTAAAACATACTGTACTCTATTCGATAAATGGTTCTCTAAATTCTTTAATTCTTATAAAAAACAATTTTTTTTTTTTTGAATATTAATGGTAAGACCATGTCTCTGACTTTATTAAAATTTAATTTGATTTTTTTACAATGAAAAGAAATCTTTACAAGGAAGAGAATCTATTTAAATTTTATATCCTAAGATAGCAAGAAAAGAAACTCAGACTAGTTTATCTGCAGCCTAAACCAATTATAAAAAATAATTTATATATATTAATGAACAAAAAACTTATAACTTTCTTAAATTTTAAATAATTTCTTATTTTACTATTGAACTTAAAAAATTACTTCCAAGTTTTTATCAATTCCCTAATATTAACTCATTATATGAGAGAACATCTGCATCGATTAAAGCCTCTCTCTACCATATACATATATATACAAATAATATATGTAATATTCTTCCTATCAATATTCTATATACTTTTCACAACTTAATCTCCTTCTATTTTTATAATTCCTTTTTCAATCCTATTTACTTGTATTTAGATTTTTCTATTTTTCAACCAGATTAACTATTAGCCGCAACTTTTACAAAATTCTTCCTATATAAATCTTTTAAAAAACTAGCTGAAACGGCTAAACAAAAATTTATACAACTCAACAATACTACTACCAACCCCAAATGGCAATCCTTTTTTTACTATACTAATTTTAAACAATTTTTACTTATAGCTTTTAAAAATAACAATATCACTGACACAAATCTTAAAAATGCTCTTCAAAACACTTTTTTAAAACAACAGATCCACATAACCTTACTAAAATTATAGCATACTTTGATATTATACAGTTCTCTAATACCTCTATTTCTCAAATTAAAACTAAATATTATCAATCTTACCTGCCACAAGCTATACAATACATTACAAAAAAACTCAAAATTCCAAAAATCTCTACTGATCTTTTCTTTCCACAATTCAAAATACCAGATATATCAGATTCTTTATTTCTTATTAATTAAATTCTACCCTAATCAAATTTATTACTTTTAACCAATCAAAACCCATATACTTTTATTTACTACCTTAGCTAAACAATATTACTATTATAACCCACTTTTAACTTTAAATATAATGAAAAAATCTTCTCTTTACTATCTTTTACTTATATTATATTATTTAACTAACCCACTTTCTACAACTTCTTTATATTCTATTATTCTATCTATAACCATACACATTAACATAAATAATCAACAATTACATTATTATATTTAAACAAACTACCTCTTATCTATACTTTATAGATTCTTTATAAAGTATTTATACAATCTAGGTTAAAACTTATCTAGATTTGTATAAGTATGATCAAATCTAGATGAGTTTTAACCACTCTAATAGGTTTAGGTTGCAGATAAATTAGTCTGAGTCTCATTCTTGTAAAAATTTTATAACTTGACTTTGGCCAGAGGAACCCCTAGTGGATTCTCAATACAAAATATTAAATAAAGATAAAGGCAAAACCTCACCTTAAAAAAAAAAATATATACAAAATACAATTTTCAATAATTTTTATTAATAAAATTCAACTCTAAACTTTGTTATTTGTGCCACAACAAACTAGTATTAAATAATAACAATCTTATAATATTATATAATATATTATATAATATAAAATTATATAGTGAAAATTATATATTATTATTATATAACATTATTATTTGATATTGTGATATGGAATTGAGTTAGTAGAAATCAAGTAAATTTTTTCTAAATAAATTTTTTTAAAACTTTAAACAATAATAACTCAACAAAAACTTAATCAAATTTAATAAAATTTATTAAAAATTTATTTAAAAATTTTTATTAAATTTTATCAAGTTTTGTTAAATTATTGGTGTTTAAAGTGTTAAAAAATTTGTAATAAAAATAACTTGCTTGATTTCTACTAACTCACCTCATATGACGTCATATAACGTCATATGACGCCATATAAGTCACATAAGTCATATGAGTCATATGATTTCATCGTTCAACATTGCAACCTACACTAGGCCACCGTGACCTTTTCTGAATATATTATGATGATAGTAGGACGAAACATTTATATTCTAAAAACTGCAACGATGACCCATACTTCCAAGGGGTTTTTACTCCAAAGAGATCGGAATTAAGTATATTGGGCTGATGATTTACACAATATTGTGCATGATTAACAATTTTTTTATAATTCTAAAACCTCGAAAGAATTTTTTTAACGATTTTCAAGATAAATAAAAATACAATACTAGTGCTAGATTTAGAAAGTACATGTTAAGTAATATTGGTTGTGTTATGAATTATTGTAATTGTCACTATATGTAGTAAGTACGCGGGAAAAAAATAATGATAAAAGATTATATCATGCCAAGGGAAACGTTATTAATGGTGAGAAAAAAATAGTGATCGAATTTATCAAAAAAGAGCCATTCAAGTAGAATTTATAGTAATTGGACTCAGCCAAAAATAAATCACGCGGCGTTGTGAAAAATTTTTATGCAGTTAAACGGTCGCAATCCTTAATTGAAATGAACATCTGTTATCGAAATGGAATGGAGATAATAAATGAATATAAGAGGTAAGGAATTTATAAACTAAATTATATACTTTGTGTTTAAATACTTATAATTAATAAACGTTTTTTTATGCTCATCTACACTAAATTAAAAGCGAATAAATGAAATTAGTAACTACGTAATCATGAACTTTATTTGAGTGCGTGAGAGTGAAAACTTGGAAATTGTTTTAATGGTTTACTATGATTGGTTACAGGTTTTCACTCTCACGCTCCTATTTTAATACTTAAATTAATGATTAATGAACTTTATGAACTTTACACTTACTATATTGATTCACGATTGTTCCACGGGTTACAGGTTTTGTGTATACCAAATTCATATAAACTAATTAGTACATAATACGTTTAATTAAATCGTAATATCTTATGAACTAATGATCGAAATCGTATGGCTTTGATATTATTCGATTCTTCTTATCTAGAGGTAACATAATCACATATGATTCCAATCACTACGTAGTTCATAAGATAATGCAATTTAATTAAAAGTATTTAAGTATTAATTTGACTGTCAATTTGTATGAATTTGGTAAGCAAAACCTGTAACTCAGTTAACCCGTGAGTTAGCCCTCACCGGGTCACTCGCGGGTGGGTGAATGAATTAGGTGATACCCACCCGGGTTCAATAACTAGAAAAGAAATTCCGGACTATGAGATAATGCATTAGTACTGGAACATTCTTTGTATGGTTAGTAACAATAATATTTAATAACTATCGCTATATAGTAAACAATATTAATTAAAAAACCAATCATCTAAACAGTATCGCTATTGTAACATTAACATTTAACAATTTTTGTACGACCATATAATAAATTATGCGAGCATTTTCCTAAAATATGGATAGGGATCGAATGAATTTTAAGAACAAAAAGCATTTATTTTCGTGTTCATAAAAAGGCATTATTATTTGTAATATGCACAAATATTAATTCATTTAAAAAAAAAACTTATTGCATGTTAACTAACATTCATTTAGACGTAAATAATTTTTAAGGAATTCTAGAATTAAAATATCTGCATCTGATAAATACATAGATCAATAATTCTGGTCAAGATTGCATATTATTATATAGCATTTGACCAGATTTAAAATTGGTTGTTCAAGATCTAGATAAATGATCAACAAACTAGACCAAAAATTTAATAAAATCGATTTTTAAAACGATCCACTTTTCATTTTACAAGCATAGAGTCCGTGCATGAACAGTTTTATAATTAAATATGAGTAGGGAATTTATATTCGGTTAGTAACAATAAAGTTAATAAGTAATATAAGCTAATAAAAAGTTAATAAGTAATATAAGCTAATAAGAAGTTAATAAGTAATATAAGCTAATAAGAAGTTAATACGTAAAATTAATATGTAAGCTAATAAAGTTAATACGAAAGTTAATAAAATTAATAAGCTAATAAAAAGTTAATAAAATTAATACGTAAGCTAATAAAGTTAATAAAATTAATACGTAAGCTAATAAAGTTAATAAAATTAATACGTAAGCTAATAAAGTTAATACGAAAGTTAATAAAATTAATAAGATAATAAAGTTAATACGTATAAAAGTTAATAAAATTAATACGATAATAAAGTTAATACAAAAGTTAATACGTACGTACGTAAAGTGATGATAACGAAAAGTATTTTATCAAACAATTAGGGATTATGAAAAGTATGATATCAAACAATTAGGGATTATATCAAACGATTAGGGATTATATCAAACGATTAGGGTTTATTACGCATATACGTACTGTACGTACGTACGTAATAATTCAATTTTTCCGTGCTATTATTATTATGTTAATGATTAGTGGTTAATCAATTATTATAGAAGATCTGAGAAAAAAGAAATACGTGTGGTACATACGTACGTACGTACGTACAGTACGTGCGAATCATGAATTTGAAAAATAATAATAACCCTTACGAAGGCGTAACCGGTTATAAAGCGTATTTAGCATGAGAAAAATGTAAATAACGCCAAGATTTTAACGATAAAAAGTTATCAAAAAAGTTATTAAAAAAAGTTATCAGGTTTAAAGATTATGATTTTGAATTTTTGTTAATTATCGTTAAAGATCTTTTTCGTTTCTCACATAATCGTACGAATGACGCTAACGTTAAATACTAATATTATAAGTTGTAACCTAAACCGTCCATCAAAATGTAAATAACCACGCATGTTTACACACACGTATGTTCAATAAATGAAATAATAAAAAGGTTAATACATTTTTCTACATGTACAGTGGCCAATAAAATATGGGAATAAAATAAAAGGTACCCGCATTCCACATTTACATTTACGTAAACTAACCCTTAATTATCTAAAAATACACTAAAAATACAATTGCTTAATTTATGAGAAACAATCCATTTTCTAAAGACAGAATGAATGATTATTCTTACTACGTATATCGATATATTTTACTTATCTGGTATTTTTTATATACATTCCTTTATGATTTTGCCTTATCTGTTATAAATACATATCAGATATGTACGTATGTACATAACATACAGTACGTACGTACTTAATAAATACGTAGAAATGATTAAAATTTATTATTAGCATTACGCACTATACAGCTATACATACAATAAATTTACCTATTCACGTTCGTACATATCTGATATTTGCTCTATTGATCGTAAATACGTACGTACAGTACGTATAGACGTACTGTACTTGCGCGGGGTAAGATTAATGGGCGATGTTATATATAGCTAGACCAATATTTTTTTAAAAGATTGCATTGTTCAGTGAGGGATAATTTTATTTGTGTTACTAAAGAAAAAAAAGTTTTAGTTAGCGTTATCAGTTATCTCGGATGGTCCCTCATGTGCATAAAATGGTACCTGATCGACGTAGGATATCGTTAGATAATTAAAAAAAAATAATGATTATGAATATAATTATGATTGCGAATATTTGTAAAGATGTTTTAAAAAAAAAAGTCTAAAAATAAAAATCTACTACTGTACCTACTGTACTATGTAATTAATTTCATTTACTAATTCTATAAAATTTTGTACATTTTAGCACCAGTATTTCACAACAAACAAGTATTACAAAATGCACTTAATGACATCCTGCAGTTAAGCCTTTAAGGATTGTCTTTTTTTAGCGACACCACATTTTTTTTAAGGATGGGTAATTTCCTTTGAAGGAATAAAACTTTAACGAGTGATTTTTAATCGAGCGTGTTTGTTTGTTTTCGAAATTTAGTGCTAGTGTTACGGAAACTTTGAAGAAAAAAAAAGGGGGAAAAATTATTTTAAATGCCAAAATACCAAGCTTTTGGGTTACTAAAGTGCTGATCCCAGGTGCGTACGTTGCAGGTAGCACGAAGGTAGTTCAACCAAGGGGTTTGGTTTGAACTTTAACATACGTACGTACGTAACTATGACGTCTATGACGTTAACGAATGTTTTACATAGATAACAAACAAACGTTGACACAACTTTTTGAGTATTTGTGAAATAGATATGTTTCGTTTTATCACAATAAAATGTAATACGTATCTGTTGTTACATACACTAATTAGTAATTCAGTAATTCAGTAATTGAACTAAATTTATCGATGAAATTAATTAATTTTTTTTTTTTAGATTTAGGTATTGTTTATAATAAGTTATATTACAAGATTTATTTTTAATAAAATTTATTTTTTGCAAGGATTAAATAAATTTTATCGACAAATCTAAAGAAAATAATTAAAATTATTAATGTCTATCATTGCTGTAGTGTTACGAATTCTTTTGAATTTAATACATAATGCATAATTCATTAGAACGAAAAATTTACTCTTTGTTCGCGTGCATACGCGTGTGTATTAAGCACGTGATGACGTGACTTAATGATACGTAACGATAACCAAGTTTTTGTTAATATCTTTTTTTCCTTTTGACAAATTTTCCTTTTGGCAAATTTTCCTCTTGACAAATTTTCCTTTTGACAAATTTCCTCTTGACAAATTTTCCTTTTGACAAATTATCTTTTGACAAATTTCCTCTTGACAAATTTTCCTTTTGACAAATTATCTTTTGACAAATTATTTAGATTAAAAATTCAGATGGTTGATCGGTTTTTTCACTTCTCATTATTACTTACAAATCAGGTAGTTTGATAGTTAACTTTGTTACTTCTTTATATTAAAAATGTGACCCTTAATAAAAGAATTTTATTTATACATTCTATTAATAGCGTCATAGCTGCAACTGTTTACTGTTATGAAAACCTTAAAAATTTATAGCGAATTAGGGTGTGACAAATGGATACAGACAATTACATAATTTATCGGCATAATTATGAATTTAGAGTGTGACAAATGATGCGTTATTTTATCATTCTAATTATGAATAATCGAATCGAACTAGTCGAACGAATCGAATTAGTCAAACAAATTGAACTAGTAAAATGAATCGAACGAGTCAAACGAATAAATTAATTAAATGAGTTAAATAAAATGATTGAATTAATTGAATTAAATGAAATGATTGAGTTAAATGAATTGAATGAGTTAAATGAATTGAGCGAGTCAATGAATTGAACGAGTCAAAATGAATGAGTCAAAATGAGTTGAATGAATTTATTAATATTTATTAATATTTATTAATATTTATTAATGCAAAAAAAAGATCACTTAACGTTAAATTGACTGACGTACTGTGGCTGAATACACTAGCTATACACTAGCTATATTATATAAATAACATTTTTTTAATTATTAAAATAGTATAGGTATAAATAGAGTAATCTTACTTGAATTTACTTGAAATCCTATTTTAACTTTATCATAATGACTCGTTCATATCTATGCTGCCTATATGCCAAGTTTTAATAAGTCGAAACAATATGAAACCTATTTACGTCTTAAATTCGTAAAACAAAAAACTTTTAATTAGAAGCATTTTCGTTTTCCAATAAATACCATCAGAAAATATACCGTTAGAGAACGTCGATGAATTAAACTAATTTTGGAAATTTGAAATAACGAAAAAGACCGAAACCTTTTTTTCGATTTAACCAAAAGTATTATTCAACAAAGAACGTTTTTCTGAAAAGGAAATTCTAAATACAGATGACATTTTTCTTTCAATGTTTGAAACTGAGATCCGATAGATAAAGCATTTCGATAGGACTTTATGTATATGATCGCGACTCTACCGCCACAACTGCGCACAAAAATTAAATTTTTGTTGAAAATTCATGTATATAGAGATAATGAGTTAATAAGTAATAATAAGTAAAAATGTAGTATATCACTGAGTATATCCAAGGATATATAAACTTAATCACTAAGGTAATTACAATCACTAAGGTAATTACTAAGTAAATCACTAAGTATATACGTAGTATATAATTTTATAAGATCGAATCAAGTTTTTTTTTTTTTGTGATGAAATATGCAGTGAGCTGTGGTAATACAACGTATAACGATAATGTAAATGTGTACAATGGAAACTAAATCTGCTTTACTTTTTTGTTACCTAAATTTAGTCTCTCCCGCTTTTTTTATCATAGAATGGCGAGAAATATGCTGACATATATGTCGACGAGTATATATATATCTTTTGAATAAATGAAATTCTATTTTTGTTTCATCTACTTTTTTATTTACTGATTTTAATTACCCTAATTAGACCTAATTAGACTTGCAAAAAATAATACGTATATCGATATCGATATACATTCATAATATACATTCGTACCAAATTCATTATTGTACCGAACTTTGTACCTTTTGTAAGCTTTTGTGAACTTTTGTGAAATTGCATTAAGATCAAATCAAAAATTCATTGTTAAAAAAAAAAAATGCATAATTTATTTAACCAATTAAATTTGATTTTCGTTTACATGAAATGAGATTGAAGGAGATTGAAGGAGATTGAAGGAGATTGAAAGAGATTGAAAGAGATTGAAAGAGATTGGAGGATATTGAAGAAGATAGGATATTGAAGATTGGAGGAGATTAGAGGAGATTGAAGGTTAGAGTAACAATTAAAATTACCTTTATCGTTATATGTACATATAAATATATTTATCGTTATACTTGTTTTTTTTTTATTATCAACGATAAAAATACTTTTTATTGTAAAAAAAAAATTAGAGTACGACTACCAAGTCCAAGTGTAAACTCGATTTGATAACTATGCATATAAACTGCTGAATAGAAGCTGTACATACATACGTACGTACGTACACATACATAAGCTTGAAATGATTTTATAGGTTAAGTGATATACCAGATGTAGCCTAGTCATGTGCAATGTACATTATTATTTATCGTAATTGTTATTTGGGCCATTATACTCGTTACCATTAGTTACTTATGTTTATTGTTGGTATAGATTTAATGTTGCTATTATTGCTACAAATTTACTGTCATTTACGTTTTATCGTTATATCAATAGTTTATATTATTAATTGCTAATCATCACTATTGAATAAATATTGAATAAATATTGAATAAAAAAGGTCTCTGATTTCACTACATTACATTACCATTCAATGAAACGACATTGCACAAAATAAGGTGTAATGAAATATCAAACAGAAAGAACCTTCTATATAGTAACTTCTCGACAAATTAACAAATTAAGTATAATTATATATGCGAGTTGTTTTGTTGTATGCTAACCCGAAAATTTGGTATGTGTACCCTTGGTTAAATTTAATCCTATTATGAATTTTACATTAACGTTAATAATAATTTTATTTATGATCTTTTGGATTTTTTTTTTAAAGCATGTATAGCATGTATGTACGTATGTAAACGTACTTACGTATGTATGTAATAACTCAAAAGTCAAAAAAACATAAGAAACTTTGCGTTTAACGTTTTATTAATTTTATCTATTCGGTATTATTCTCGATTTTTCTGTACATTCATGTATATTTATACATTTAACATACATTTAACATACATTCAACATTATATTCAACATTATATTTAACATTACATTTAACATACAATTAACATTTACATTTAACATAAAATTAACATTACATTTAACATTACATTTAACATACAATTAACATTTACATTTAACAT